CAGAAGTGTAAGATTTAATTATAATTAAAGAGGCTCAGAACTCCTTCATAATTAAAATATCGTTACTAAAATAATTAATTACTAAATGTTTACCTTTTACTGTTTTTTAACTTGTAACTCACAATTATCCCCCTTGGCAAAAAATATAACTCCTTAAAATTAAAAATATATAACATAAAATTATTAAAAAAAAAATATTCCTTACAATTGTGACTCCAAAGAAGAAACATAAAACCTTTTAAAAAACCTTTAGAAACATTTGAACCTTTTCAACAGCATGATGAGATGAGAATGAAGATGCGAATAAATAATCACATTACATTTTCTCTACTTTTACACAAATTGTGGTATTTTCTATATTCATCAAGCTCAAAAATGCAATCCTCTTACCCAAGATATTATAAGGGAAAAATCTGCAACACATATTTAGATTTAAGAGAAATGTATGTCAATATCAATAACAACAAAGCAATGTTTGGTCACAAAATATCCAGCTGTTACTGACAGACGGCTTCATTTTGGCAAAATTTCCACCTTTTTTAAAATTCTTATTGGTGGTTGTTTGATTTATTTGTCTAAAAAAATCTTGAATTAGAGAAATTAAATATTAATTGAAAAGATTATCATGAGTTACTACTTGGAAATAGAATACAGTAAAAATTATGTGCATGGCGATAACGATGGTGGTCATGAAAAAAAAAACATTCAGGTGAATTAAATTGATGGATTAGCATGCATTTCATGATGCAGAAGGTGTGATGTATGCAAAACAAGCATTTTAGATGGAAACTGAGAAGCATATGTCATATAAAATCAAATTTTCTTAGCAAACAATTGATTTGCACGTCATTTTGTGATTTACACAGATTCTAAATACTTATTCAAAAAGACTAATACATTTCCAACATCTGGCTGCTTTTCTTATCCAATCACAGATGCAAACATTGACATCAAATGAGCATGAAGCAAACTTTTTCTTAAACTATCTTTCTATCAATTTTTATACCTATGACTCACATAATGAGTTGAATTGCTCATACATATAACCCGATACTATCTTGCACAATTCTTGTCCACACACTCTTTGACAGGTTGCTTTCTCTTCCAGTCTATTCTGATTCATGTGGGTGAATTGTAAACACACAGATACACACACACTTTTATTTGGCAGTATATGGTGATTTCACTCACTTTCATTCAGTGTATATCAGACATGCCTGTGGCTGTGGGCCCATCAAATGCCCTGAGACTTTAAATCAAAATGTTGCTGTCTGTGCCAGGAGACTCTCAGCTCTTCCGTCATGACAGCAAATCCACACAGAAATACTTCAGTGACCACAGAATCAAGGTTTTACTGTCCCCTAAGCTGAACCCATGGGCTCGAGCTGAACACAAGCTGAGCTTTAGTCCATCAGCTGGGACTAAACACTCTGATCTGGACAGATTTACAGCAGAGAAATGATCTTAGATCCTGTTACATGTGTTCTGCTGCACCTTCATCCAGAATGATCTGAAAAGACTTGAGGATGAATTCACTGAACTGTTGTACCACGCAGGGTTTCCACACAAGAAGATGCATCTCATTCCCTAATGATCTGCAATCCGGTTTTACCACATGCATCAAAATTAATTCTTTCTCCTTCAATTCAATTTAAATGAGTTTTTTTATTGTGCCTTATTGTCATAAATAAATGCTGCTTCTCTGGTGCAAAAGTTATTTTTAAAGCGAATATTGAAAATCACAAATCAATCTATTTCTACTCTGAACCAGTGTTATTTTAGTATCATTGAGATGCTATTATAGTTTTTTGTTAAAATTTTGAATTAGATTTTTATGCTTTCTGTTTAAAATTTTTTAGTCATTTTGAGAATTTAGTTGTTTAAATGTCTATATAGTTATTAATTTTTCTTTCAGTTTTAGCTGTATTTTTTAAGTACATCAAGATAATATATATAATTACTTGTGTGATGTCAATATATGGGTGTAAATAAATGCATTATTATTATTATTCATTTTGAATTTTTTTCAGTTTTTAAGTATTTATTTATTTATTTGTGTGTGTGTGATGGAAAATGAAAATTGGGAAATTTAGCAGAATGTGGATCTTTTTTATAAACTGAGAGTTAATGGTGACCCATGTCAAGCTTTTAAAATTAAACTATAAAAGTAGTCCATATGACTTGTGCACTATATTCCAAATAATCTTCTTTGCTTTCATATCTCATTCACATGGTGCATCAAGATATCACATGTCATGCCGGGTTTGATGTCAGTGATGGCAAATGTCATTTTTCATATGTTTTCCTAAATTTCCTGTAACTGCTCAGTTGCAGCAGTGATTTTTCTCTTACCTTTTGCTCAGGTCTGAGGTTAAAGAGCATGTCGTTTTTATTTTACTGATTGTCTCCTCTCTCATTTTGCAGCATTCAGTCGTGCACCGGTGCCCATGGCAGTTGTTCGGCGCGAGCTGTCGTGTGAAAGTTACCCTATCGAGCTGCGCTGTCCCGGGACGGACGTCATCATGATCGAGAGTGCAAATTACGGCCGAACCGATGACAAAATCTGCGACGCCGACCCCGCTCAGATGGAGAATACGCGCTGCTATTTACCTGATGCGTACAAGATCATGAGCCAGAGGTGAGGCACACAAACACAATGAAGCTAGAAACTTCCAGTCAAAAGGTAGTGTATAGCCACAAAAATGTTAACATTGATAATAATCAGAAATGTTTCTTGAGAAGCAAATCAGCATATTAGAATGATTTCTGAAGATCATGTGACACTGAAGACTGGAGTAATGATGCTGAAAATACAGCTCTGATCACAGGAATAAATTACATTTTACAATATATTCACATAGAAACAGCTATTATAATAATTGTAATATTTCACAATTTAAAAAATTTGAATGGTATTTTTGATCAAATAAATAAAGCCCTTTTAAAAATATATTTATATATTAAAAAAAAATCTTAATTATTACAGACTTTTGACCGGTAGTGTATATGCAAAAAAAAAAAAAAAAATCTGATGAGTTTTATGCTGTGTAGAGTTTTGAAAGTGCAGGTTGTGTCTAATTTTAGAAGTGTGTTGTGTATGTTTACTCTGTTTTTGACTTAAGTTATAATTTTCTGGGGACATTTTGCACAGTCAGTGCATGAAATCAAGCTTGCATAGCTGGAAGAGTAGAGTGAGTTTTTACTTCTGTAGAGTGTATCAAATCTTTTGGGCATAGTGTGTGTGTGTGAAATAAGGCTTTCTGTTTTCTGTGTGCTACTTATTTAGCTTACACTTTCTTACCCAGCAACGTATCACAGTACAATTACGACAGGGAACATCCCCCCGGAGCAGTCTGGGTTTAAGCACCCCACTCAAGAGCTCAGTGATGTAGGTAATAAGATATAAGATACCTTAGCAATCCTTAGGTCCATGAATCAAGCCTTCAGGGGGTTGAACCAGCAACCTTTGGATTAGCTGCCGCTGCACCGCATGCTGTGTGTGTGATACACTGATGCAGATTTGGCTTATTAAAGCCTGCTGTGCTGCTTTCTCTTTTGGCTGCTGTTTTTCCGGCCCTCCCTAGCATTTTCCTCAGCATTTCATGCAGCCTGACACTTATCACAACTTGGCGGAGTGGAAGAGTCAGACAGACCGGTATCAGAGTGTAGTGTGTCTGTTATTGTTCCTGTGTGTATTCTCCATTCTGTTGCTGAAATAAATTAAAGCAGCTGCTCAGCAACACAGCATGATAACGAATAGTAACCGTGTCCATCTAGTGCAGAGCAGTTGACATTATTCTCTATAGCAAACCTCTAACTTCACGCACAAGTGTGGGGAATCTGAATAGAAAATATTTCAGTAGAGGGCTGGATAGAGTTAGAATGGATGTTGTAAAGAGTTTGATAAGGGTGTCACAGAGTTTTAGCAATGTTGTAGAGTTTCATTAGAGTTACAAAGTTTGGAGGGTGCCATGTACATTTTAGTACGAAGTTGTAGAGTTTCAGTAGAATGTGTAATTTGGAATTTTAATACAGTATGTTAGAGTTTCAGTAGAATGTGTCAAGCAGAGTTTAAGTAGTGTGTGTCACGTATAATTTCAGTAGAATGTGTCAGAGTTTCAGCATGTAGAGTTTCAGTAGAGGGTCACATAGAGTTTCAGTAGAATGTGTCATGTAGAGTTTTAGTATAATATGTCACATAGTGTTTTAGTAGAATATGTCACATAGATTTTCACTAGAATTTGTCATGTAGAGTTTCAGTAGAATGTCACATAGAGTTCAGTAGAATGTGTCACAGTTTCAATAGAGGGTCACAGAGAGTTTTAGTAGAATGTGTCACATAGAATTTTAGTAGAATGTATCACATATTTTCAGTAGAATGTGTCACAGTTTCAGTAGAATGTCACATGGATATTCAGTAGAATGTCACGTAGAGTTTCAGTAGAATATGTTATGTAGAGTTTCAGTAGAATGTGTCATAGTTCCAATAGAATGTGTCATGTCACACATAATTTCAGTAGAATGCGTCATGTAGAGTTTCAGTAGAATGTCACAGAGTTCAGTAGAATGTGTCACATAGAGTTTCAGTAGAACTTCACATAGAGTTTCAGTAGAATGTGACATGTCACAGAGTTTCAGTAGAACATGTCATGTAGTTTCAGTAGAATGCGTCATGTAGAGTTTCAGTAGAATGTGTCACGTAGAGTTTCAGTAGAACTTCACATAGAGTTTCAGTAGAATATGTCAGTTTCAGTAGAATGTGTCATGTCACATAGAGTTTCAGTAGAACATGGCATGTAGTTTCAGTAGAATATGTCATGTAGATTTTCAGTAGAATGTGTCACGTAGAGTTTCAGTAGAACTTCACATATAGTTTCAGTAGAATATGTCAGTTTCAGTAGAATGTGTCATGTCACATAGAGTTTCAGTAGAACATGTCATGTAGTTTCAATAGAATGCGTCACATAGGGTTCCAATAGAATGTGTTTTGTAGAGTTTCAGTAGAATGTGTCATGTCACATAGAGTTTCAGTAGAACATGTCATGTAGTTTCAGTAGAATATGTCATGTAGAGTTTCAATAGAATGCGTCACATAGGGTTCCAATAGAATGTGTTTTGTAGAGTTTCAGTAGAATGTGTCATATAGTGTGTTGAGTTGTTGATGGGAATCCTGTAGCGTGATCTGCTCTTATGCGTCTCCAGCCTCATTAACATGTGCAGAGATGAGAGGAGGCAAAGCTCTCCTCCAGAGACGAAGCAAACTCAAACGCTTCCATCCCACTTACCCTTTAAGCCTATTAGACAGAAGACAAGAGGAAAATCCAAACAGAGAAAGAAAGATAGAGCACATATAAAATCTATCATACTTTAATTTCACATATGAGAATACCTTAAATATTAAGAGTAATCATAAAATAAATATTGGTATATAAATACATATTAGTATAAGGGTATTGCCATAACATAAATATATTTTATTGATTTATATCAATAGAAATATAATTCATATCAGTCTAGCAATCCAAAATGGCCACACAATATTTTTTTCCTACATTTTCCGCTATTGCTTTCACAGTTCTAAATGCAATATATTGTGTGCAATCTATTTTATTGTTTTCTATATTTTATGCTATTGCTTTTGCAATTATAAATTGTCATGCAACATTTCTAAATTTTGTCATGCAATATATTTAATTGTTTTCTATATTTTCTGCTATTGCTTTTGCAGTTATACATTTTATCATGTAATATTTCTAAATTTTGTCATGCTGTATATTTTACTGTTTTCTATATTTTCCGCTATTGCTTGCACAATTCCAAATTTTGTCATGTGGAACTAAACTGAATTGAATTGTTGGAAAATGCAGCAGCTGACGACGCGTGTTTCTCAGACCAGTCAGACTCACTCACATGTCTGGTATCCTCTAGTGCTGCTTTTGTGCTTTTGTCTCTCTGTTTATTGTCAAGCGCTTAAGATCAGATTTTCCAGGGTTTATGTAACAAACCGCATTCTAAGGGCAGCGTTACTGTCCAATGGAATTTAAAAACTAGCAAATGAGTTTCTCTTCTGCCCACATCTGTGTCATATTATTTTCTCTTTGTCTGTGGTTGTGTGCTCTGCGACTGGCAGAGGTCCACGGGATCTGAACGCAAACGGCTCTTGCTCGAGTAATCTGATAGCTCAATTCGGAAGTGCTATTCTTCGTTGTGTGGAATTTTGCCCTTGTGGGAATAGATCTGCTTTTTCCGGGCCGTAAACCACCTGTCTGCTCGCTTGTGCGGCTTCACACAGCTAATATCCAGAGGCAATAGGCATTTAACAATTACATAAATAAAAAAGTTTTAGACCCTTTTTAAAATAAATAAACAAATACTTTTTAAATACAAATATTTATTTATGATTTATTAATGATCTGTGAGCACAGATGCAGTTTAAGAAGCTGAAATATTTCAGGCGCAGCTTCACATAAAACACAGTTTGCCAAGAAACTCTGACAGGCTGATAGATTTATACGCAGTTGTTTGAGATATCGATGAGTGATTCTTCACAGTTTTGATGTGTGTGTGTGTGTGTGTTGAATGCTGCAGTGAATTGCATCAGACGTGATTTAAGTTGCTGAGGGAGGAAATGTTTGCTATGAATATGATTTCACTTATGAAATGAAGGCCTTGTTGAATTTAAAGAAAACAGATTTCAGTCTAAGAATATTGGAAATCAAATATTAAAAGAAATGGTTCTGAAATTTTTGGCATGGTATTCCTTAAATTCTCGAAACTGGTCAGTAGTTTCTGAACTGAAACTGGATAGCTGGTTTTGATCAGTGTCAGTTTATTATAGTTTTTATTAATA